ATGTATGTATGTATGTATGTATGTATGTATGTATGTATGTATGTATGAATGCGCGCGTGCATGTTGCAAGTGGTAAGGAGACCTCGGAGCCGGCTCACGCCCAACAGAAGTCATCAAGAAAACGGTGATCTTGCAACTGAACTCAACACCGCAACAACCGAGCGCTGCGCCCTTCTACCCGCAGCCTCTCTGTCTCTTTCCATGGACGCCCTGTGTCTTAACTGGCCGGTGTAAAGCCCTGCAAGGGCTAATATCGCCGCCCTTCCCACCCGGTCTTGTGCCAAGATGGTGCACGGAAGCGGGAATGGAACGCGTGACACGCGTGATGTTGTCATTCCCACAGTTCAAGTTTATTTTGTCAAACGTGTGCCTGCAGAGACTTCGTGACTAACAAAAAGGAGCTTCTTTTTTTGCGATTGTGGTCGCAATCTTCCCTTTGAAGCTGTTCTCCTGACCTTGGTTTTGGAACCTCATGATGCACGCTGAACCAACAAAGCCCAAGTATTCACCTCAAACTATTGAATTGTCTCTCCCAAGACCTGCTCATGGAAAGTCTGTTGCGAGATTGAAGGGATGGCCCGGTTCTCACATACCCATGATTTTGGCGAAGCTATCCGCAATCTGAGCGTCTGATAGCTGCGCCTGTGGCCAGGCGCGCCCGGATGAGCTTGACTTGCAACAACGTTCGAAAATGGTGGTGCTGTTCTGCTGATGAGATCGTTGATGGGTTGGGCAACGTTTTAGTCCCAAGCCCCCATTGGCAGGGTTTGTCCAACGGCCAAACGGCGTCAAGATAGTGTATCGATTGCCCCAGCCAATGCTGTCGCTTCTTTCGATAAAGTTCTTACAGCTACTTTCTGTATCTTGCTGGTAAACTGCAAGATTGGGTTCACACACTTTTGATGTTCTTTCTTGCGGTCATTATCATCATCCGTGGATGAGAGATTGATTCTGCTCCGCTTTGCAGGAAGCTCACGCAGTCTCTTCTCATACTGCAAGCTTCTGACCAATCCCCTAAGCCTAGAGGTGGCTCATCTTGGGCGGTTGGCTCTTCTAGACATTTCGTCGATCAAGATTGGTTGAGACGAGGTATCTACATCTTTGACGTGCTTAGTTTGGTCTACCGTTGTCTTTCGACTTTCGAATGGATCTGTGGTTTCCAGGAGATTGGTTCTACGTTGGGCTTCGGGGCGGGGCGAGCAAGCCATCGTCGACCACTACGCCGTTTCCAACAAACCCTTGTGGTAGTTTTTTGTCGCCCCCAAAGATGAAACGGCAAGGGTCGAATGGAGAAGCTTGGAACCCCAAATCTTTTGGTGCTTTGGCTTTGCGCTGTGGACATGCGATTTTCGCGTCGAAGCTGTCCACTGTCCATTGTTGAGTTGGGGAAGCGGGTCGGTGCTTTGGCTTCGCAGTTCATCGAGTGCGTGCTAGTCTTCCACCTCGCAATCCATCGGCGCTTCAGGATGTTCTCAGGTGAAGTTTTGCTTCTACACTTCCAAGGACTTTGCACACCGTTGGTGTATCTAGCCAACTCTGATTTAACTTTTCCTTTAGCGTCTTAAAACAGCTTTTGTTCTTTGGCGTTCAATGTTGATGGTTCAACCGCAAAAAGTCTTCCGGATCGTTTTGCTCGTGGTCTCATTCTGCCAGACCGCCAAGTTCGGACTCAAGGAGTCGCGAAACAAATCTGGCAAGAAGAACGCGCGTTCTCCTTTACCAGAAGGATTTTTCCTTTTGGTTTTGGCTTAGGCAGGGAAGGCAAATTGCCCACTTCGGACCGAGGCAAAGATCTATATTCCTGTTCATTGGTCGTTTGTTGGTTTCTCAGGCAAGGTTTCTGGCCTGAGAACTTGAGGGCTAACCCACAAATCGAGTGTTTCCCGGTCGAAGGACATTGGTTTTGTTTCTTGATGACGACGGACTTCCCCGAGCGGTGGGAGGTCTTGCGTCTGAAGCTGCCCAGACGATGTTTTTGTCTTCTTGGACAGCATGGTCATCTTTTTCTCCAAAGCCATGATCCAGTCTCTGGGATGATACGCGTTCGCTGAGGCCTCGATCGTTTGATTTCGCAAAGAGCCTTTTGGGCATTTTTTGGCGGCGAAACGTTTTCGAAATTGCGCCGTGCAACGCGAAATGATGAACTTTGGGTTCGCTGCCAATCATTGCTGAACTTCTTCCTAGTTCCCAGGATCTTCTTTCTTTTCTGTGGGCTTGTCCTTACCCACGCTGCGCAGGAGCTACTGTAATTTCCCACCGTGTCTTTCGACCCTGGACTTTTGCAAGTCGGCTTAGTCTTAGGTAATGTTCTAAATTGTAGGCAGGCGTGAAAGGTTTCGCGTCTACGTGTAGGGCCGCCGGAGGACTGGCCCACCTGCTTAGAGAATCCAACCTCTTGCTTTGGACGCCGTTTCTCAAAACAACAGCGTTTGCTGTCTTTTGTTGTTTTGCTCTCGTGTGTTTGACATAATCTGCTGTTCTTCTCATCGTCGCCCTGTGTGCGTGGAGTGGTGAGACAGCTGTCGTCTAGACAACGGTGGGGGGAGTTGTTGAGCCACATACAGTTTCAAATCTGCACTGCTATAGTCAGGCGATGGCCAATGCACAAGGGTTGCTGAGCCACTTGCGCTTTCAAAGGCTAAAAAAAATAAGGTTGCCCAGGGAAAACCTCCGTGGTAAAGTATGTGTGTGCGCGTTCACATTTTTTTAGGAAACAAAACACAAAAGCGCGCTATGAGGGGAAACCTTCCTAGATTCACGCAGGCAGGTTGAGGTTAGGGTTGAAAGGGGTACAAAAAGAACGCCGAAGAAACCCGTCTGTGTTTTTTTTTTTTCGTTCGCCGCCGTCGACCGTTTTTAGCATCTCACTGCGCTCTGCGGCGCTGGAGTTCGCGAGGCCGTCCACAGCTCTCTGCAAGATTGTAGGTTGTTCTAGGAAACCAGACTCCAAAGATAACAGAACCGTGTAATCTTGCAATCTTTCTTGCAGTCTTGGGGTTGTGGTGCTGCAACCTCGCTGCAGCCGATGTGAGAGCAAGGCAAGAGCCTGCAGGAAAGCACCTCTGACCCGGCACATCTACGTTCAACCTTCCATCTTGCAAAGACCTCTGTAAGAACCAAGGTAGGGTTTTGATTGATATAGGCAATACAGTTTTGATTGACTTTCCTTCCCTGGGCGGGTCACCCAATATGATTGTATCCCATGAACGTTCAGGGTGAAGCTCTTCAACAGAGGTGCTTTCCGGTGAAACCGTACGCGCCAATCGATTGAAATCAAGCCACATCAAACCATTCCATGAAGTTCATGTTTTTTACATTTTGTGATGTTAAGTCCATCCACGATGTCCAGCCGTCGCAACACTTCCAACAATGCATGAATGCATGGAACTATATAGGATCCTTCGGCGTGGCTTGATTCTTGCCTGCTTCATGTCGTTGGTGTGGCCTGAGCGCAACGACAAGTGCCCTTGTACCTTGTAGGTTCATTGGTTGAGAAGCGTGCGCGTTACTTTTGTGAAGGCCTTCATAGGTTGAGAAGCGTGC